TTATTACTGTAAATTTTATGCATTGGAAAACCAGTCTTCTATTTATGCTGAAACTATGGCGAGTAAAAAACGCGAAGAAGATGCTAAAAAACTACGCCATAAACTAGAGGAGAAACGTCAAAAAGAATTAGACAAATTAAGTAACATGGAGCGCATGAAAATGAAAAGAGAGGATCGACGTAGAAAAACAGTGATGCTATCTCGTACGGCAAAAGAAAGACAACGCTTGAATCGGTTCAAAATAGAAGCTCAATGGAAACCAGGATTCATATCCGATGCAGAGGAACGATTACGCGACACTTGGATGAGTATGCGTACGGAAATGTTAAGAACCATGAAAATTGTCCCATATGTAAGTTAAAATATACATTTAAAAATATTGCAGAGACATAATGGAACAAAATTTTAAATTTATAATATAAATTAAAGAATTTACTTCATGTCTCATTTTAGGTATATTGTGTTTTATACAAGTCTGGAAATCTTACGCGCACCGATATATTGAATTATCCTGACCTTTACAAATCTCTAGAACATGGCATTGATGTATTATCTGACCCGCAGTATATGTTGGATTAAGTAATATCGATAGTTATATTTAGTTGAAATTTCAAAAATACATAAAATTAAACGTATTTTAATTTAATGTTTATTTTAGTATTGCTCGAAACATATTATTTTTATTTATGATTCCAATAGCGGATAAATTACAATCGAAATTGTTACCTTTCAAAATTGATCAAATAATATTAATATTATACGCCCAGAATAAAAAATTTTTATCACAACAAAAAAGGTATAGAAAGGATAAATTTCAAAGAATTTTTAAAAAATATACAAATTCAAAAGTATTCAAGTACCAACATAAAAATATATTTTTCTACATATCATGTATAAAAAATATACGGAATTTATCATTTGAAAACGCACGTATAAAATTATATATCTTGCGAACTGTTTACTCATTAGGTTCCTTGTAGCTTTTAAGGTTCCTTTTAAGTTAAAATTACTACTTCGTGGAGGAGTTTCGAGCTGATTGGATATGGAGTTAAATACCATATCTACGTCATATATAGAAGCATAGTTTTATTGCACTCAATAGGGCATATACTTTAGAGGCTGTGAAATAAACTTTGATAAGTTTACAATATGCTTTATATAATAATAACGAATGATTTCTTTCACTGAAAGTATATCATTATATATATAAATATATATTGCTAAGTATATATGTGTGTTTTTGGCATGTGACACTTGCATTTTATTTTGATGATTATATAAAATTAGTATCATAGTTAAAATGAAAATGATTACATTGCCTAACCAATGGATATATATATATATATACATCCGAAATAGACACATTTTTTAAAATTATTCTAGGAAATACTCAGAATGTGGATTGAAAGAAATAGTAAAACTGAGTACCAAATTGTTTTTATATTATATCAAACTATACACTTAAATGAATTTTGTACAAACAACGAAATTTCTACAGTACATAGGACAACATCGTTGTTGTTGCAAATGTTTTCAGTTTCAAAAAATAGTGCCAAATGCTCATATTGAATTTTCCTTACTGATAAGGCTAATTCGTCGCTGGATGGATATGCCTACAAGTAACTGTTTGTCAAACGGCCACTGAATCCAGGAAAGGGGCATTATATGATGTGACATTTGGTCTAGAGATTTGAAAGACACGTTCTTTTTTAAAATGTCGAGTGTATAATATTTTATTTAAAATTTTTTGCGTGATCATAATATACGGTTCTAGCAATACATCCAGTTATATCTTTGTTGTTCTAGATATTTTTCGGCCCATGTATATATAATATAAGGTCTGTTCCACGAGCTACTCGTAGTAACTTTGAGTAACACTGTGTATACACAAGTGCGTTCCACCAGCAAATTTTCGTGTAAATTTTACTTATGTTTTACTAAGAGTATCGTGGAACAGACCTATTATGTGAGTTCATCATAAAGATCATGCGATTTGTGACCACTAGTTTGGTATTACGCAAAGGAACGTTTTTTATGCTAACGTTCCTTAAACTACGAAGAAGATCCATTAAGTTATCGCCGAGCTTAGCGTTAACAAACAAAAATTGTTTCAAAAGCATCCAGTACTGTGATATGTCCCGTAGATATCAAATTGATTTCGTATTTCGCACCTAATGGCAAGAACGAAATAATGTATTGAAATAAAAGTTTGATCGAATTCTCTACTTTAACTTACAGAATTATAAAATGGATAACTCAGTAAGAGCAGGAATCATAGGTAAGATACTTCATAAACACATATTAAATCTATTGCAAATACATACCCACATGCTTGGGGCCAACTTTGAGCAAAATAAAACTTTTAACGGCGTATAATTTTTTATTAGTTTTCTCTGTTATAGAGGCGATAGCAAAGGGTTCCGTTTTCGTTGACGTTAACAATTGATCATGTTAATGCTTAATGCAGATCATGTCTCTATTTGAACCTGGTTACTCTGTACGGGTTAGTTTCTTTAAAACTTATTAAAGATACTGTTACCTGTTGAGAAAACAAAATTTTTAACGTAATAAATCTATAAATGAATTTTAAATCATACTTATCTTAATGATGATATACGAGTATAATCATTTCTATAATATATAATGAATTTTTTCATTTTATTGTATGTATTCTTTTTGATAAAGTAATAGTATTTTTTGAACGCAGAAAAAACATATTGACATTTTCCAAATCGTTACACAGCTTTCAGCAACAAACCAATCTACAATTTTCCACAGCGTCAACATAGTTGTGGTGCACTAGATTGGAAAACCATTGACTTAATACAACTGATCAATAAGTTGTATGTTTCAAATCAAAGACTCATAATTCTAATACATTAGAATATGTTTTAAAATGAAGTTTTGAAATTCTTTGTAAATTTCATGCTTTTCCATATATATACAACTAATTATTTGAAATGCACATTGACTTCAATTATTAATTATTAAGTATTAACAATTTATATTTGAAATTTATTTAATGTTTTATTTAATTATAAATAACTTATAGTTTATATTCTATATGATTTATTATAATTACTTTTTTTCTTGATAACATTTAAAAAGAAGTCCATTTAATATTTTTTTATTTGTTTCACGCTTAAATAATTTGCTTTTAAATTTTAATTTTTTGTAGATTTTACAATTCGACTTTTATTTTTTTTTATTCTTTTTATTTCTTATATTTAAAACGTTTGTCATACACAAAAAAATTATAATTAAAACAAAATACATATAAAATACAATAATTAAAAAATTCGTAACGCACGCTATGCAACATTTGTTTCAATAATGTAATCTTTTAAGCAAATAAAATTGTATATACTTTAAGTTTAGAATTTATAATATAAATACAAACTAGATTGTTTCCTGCAAATTGCAAAATTTGTTTTTTTTTCATTCGTCACTTCATTTTACTTTATACAAATTTGTGAATAAAATATATATTATTTACTTAGCAATAAATTTAAATAAAAATTAATAATTGTTCACACAACAAAAAATTATAAATAAAAGAAATTATTACAATATACACTATGACAAAATTGCGCCTGAACATTTTAGGTTTGTTGACTGGATTGATTTTAAACAGAGCTCAGGAGGAGCATATTCGTTTTTTAAAATCTTTCAAATTTTTCAAGGTATGCAGCAAATAAAAATATAAAATATATAAAATGTTATAAAATATCTGTACAAATGATATTGATCGATCGTGGATCGATTGATTGATAAAGTTAAAACTTTCAAGGAGACAACCTTAATTTTATTTAAATTAGTAGTATACTCTGTCCACCTTAATGGCTGCAACCTTTGTTACTATTAACATATTTTTTCTTGCTTAACTTGATCTAACTCCTGCACTATTGCTCACTTCTAATATATTAGATCTCTCATTTAATTTATTTACTAATATAACGTGTGTTTAAAACCTTACCATTATTAGTTGAGTTTATTTATTTTTACAATATTTTTCTCGTTCTAGGTGCCGTGCCGTTCTCCACGTTGCTGTACAATCGTTGTTTTCAGATTTTATTCTTGTCTATTACTACATTTGCGGGGTTTTCTTCACTCGTTTTTGTTTTAGGTTTACATTACTATTCATTATCGCTTTGCCAGCATAATATTATTCTCAACATTTGAACTTAACCATTGGTATATGCTTGGAAGACAGACACTTGTCACAGCACCACTCCGCATACACTTCCTTTGTTAGCAGTTGAAAAGCGGCTTCCGTTAAACCAACACACGTTCTGTAAAGAAATGGAGTTATAAGTGCCAGATTGTTACTAAATATACTGCCGCATACAAAACTTACCTATGAAAAAAGAAATTACAACCAGATTCACAGAATACTGCCTCGTCATTATCATTCACTTCTTTGTGGCACATACCACAGGGATAAATTGGTGGCGCATTTGGATTTTGCGGATTAAACACCATTGGCTGTCCAGGCGGATACATTTTTCCTGCGCTCATAGTCATAGGTTTCGGACCACCACCCATAGGACTGCCCATTGGACCCATAGGTCCTCCCATTGGACCGCCCATGTTACCCATTGGTCCACCCATAGGACCTCCAGGCCCCAGAGGACTGCCGCTGAACATATTTGGTGGTCCACCCATAGGATTGTGGTGTGGATGTGGGTGTTGTGGATGACCATGCGGGAGTGAATGCGGATGAGGAGGGCCATTCATGTTACCTGGTCCAGGACCAGGTCCACCTGGACCTGGCACTCCACCCATATGTCCCATATGTGGACTACTGCCGTGACCTCCCATAATGTGATGTGGTGGATGATTAGGTCCTCCTGGTCCCATATGACCCATTCCAACTGGGCCGTGCATATGTGAGTTTGGTCCGCCCATCATGTGTGGTGGTGGACCGCCAGGATGATGATGAGGATGATTTGGATGGTTCATTAATTGCGGGTGTTGTGGACCAAGATGCGGTGGCGGTTGTGGTGGCAACATTTGATTAGGACCACCACTCATACTACCTGGTCCAGGGCCAGGTGCTGGTCCATGACCGGGTGGTCCAATACTGCCCGGTGCGCCTTGTTGCATTAGTCCACCAAGGCCGCTGCCATGCGCATGTGCTTGTTGTTGCATAGGAACATTCGGGTTCATTTGTTGTTGCATTGGTCCACCCATTGGACCTGTAGGTCCGATAGGTCCATTATTACTGCTATTTCCACCTAAGCCCATATTATTTGTACCTCCTAATGGACTAGCACCAAGATTGCCCATTGGGCCGCAATTATTGTTGCCCATGCTAGGCGATTGCAATGGACTGGGACCACTACCTGTGTTAATTATTCCGGGACTAGGACCAGGTCCACTCCCACTCATTACATGGTGGGGTGACATAGCAGGAGGCGCACCACCCGGAGCTGGCGAGGACGTAGGCACTGATGTTGAAGCAGTTGGTGTTGCTGCCGCTGCTGCTGACGACGACGATGGTGGCATAGGTCCATTTGTCATTGATGAGCCTACTAGTCGTGCTACTGGCGAGTTAAGATGAGTCTGATTACTGTTAGAATTGTTATTGTTATTGCTTAAATTTGTTGAACCAGGCGCTGGAGATGTACCACCACCACCAACTCCAGAATTTAACGCACTAATACTTTGTTGTTGAGGACCTCCTGGACCAGGACCAGGCCCAGGGCCACCTGGTAAATGACTGTGATTTGTAGGCCCGTTACCTAACGGACTGTGCATAGGTGGAGGTCCCATCTGGCCATTATTCATATGCGGAGGTGGTTGTGGTTGTGATTGTTGCGGTTGATGTGGTAGAGGCCCTAAAGGACTGCCCATTGCGCTGCCCATAGGTGAACCCATTGGCAGTGAATTCATTGGTGATCCTTGACCAGGTCCACCAGGAGCCATACCTGGACCACCTGCATTTCCCATTGGAGAGCCCATTGTACGCGGTCCATTTGGTCCATGGCCACCCATTGGTGACAAACCACCCATACCCAACTGATGCGGAGATATACTTGGACCGCCCATGCCACCCATTGGACTCATTCCTCCCATTGCTGCCATGGCGCCCATCGGACTACCCATCGGACCACCGGTTCTTCCATGATTCAAATGTGGTGGTAAGCCAACACCTGGACCCATTGGATGTCCACCTGGACCGCCGATTGGACTGTTCATGCCCATAGGGCTCATTCCACGCATAGAAGGGGGGCCACCCAAATGATGCGGATGCGGTGGGCCACCAGGATGATGAGGATGCATATGCGGGTGCATGTGTGGAGGTGGACCATGCGGACCTCCCATGCCAACATGTGGTCCCATGCCACCAGGACCTGGACCAAAATGTCCGCTCATATGACCCATAGACATTGAACTTGACATAGTGGGCGGACTATCATCAAAAGGATTCGATGCAACAATTGTATCACCGTAGCCACCCATCGGAGGTGGAGGTAACAAGTCCTGCGGTGTAGGTGGTGCTTGTGACTGCATGGAATTCGCAGCGGCAGCTGCTGCAGCTGCAGCCGCCGCTGCTGCTGCCGCTGAATTTGCATTCGATGTTTTCCGTCGTTTTTTTGGATTGCTCGGTGCAGATATTATATCTGTAGGCGGTGGTGGTTTAAAATCAGGGCATAAAGCTCCAGCTGGACCCGGCATACGATATGGAACCATACCGAGATTATGGGCCATATTTGAGGTGTTTTTCTTCCGAATGGTGGCAGCTTTTTTTACTTCCGTGGCAAAAAAAAATATCTATAGACAGCAGCAGCTACAACTTATATTATGTAGGGTAATAGCGCTGCAGGAGTGGTTATTAGGAAGATGATACAAAGTATGTTATTTTTATGAGGATTGCGAACAGCCGGAAAATGTTGTCAATTTAATAGTTATATGTAATCTCTTTCGTTATTGCTGGCACAAATGGGCATTAAATGCTACGGCGTGTGGTTATTGATTTAGTTTGCAATATGCAAAATGAGTATATTCATTAATTTAAAGCAACAATGAACTTAAAGTATATCTTATTCTGTTGTTGCAACGATGAAAATGATGATGGAAACAGTGATGAGTGACGTTGATTTGCTGCAGATACGTTGAGCAGTTGCTCTGAAGAACATTAATCCTGAAAGGCAAAAGTATGTTTATTCTGTGCACAAATGAAAATAAAAAAAATTATTCAAGTTTTTTTATTTATTTTTGTGATATCGTTCGTCTTAAAGAGACCATATTAAAAAAAAAACTTGATAAATTTATCATTAAAACTTACCTTAACATTTTAGTTGTAATAATGAATAAATTCAAAAACCCAAATTAGCTGAAGATGGCAAAAATTTGACAAAACAAATTCTTGCCAAGCACCAGTTGGTGCAATGGCACATTACTGAGAGATTTTTAATGTATATTTATTCCAATTACCGCTTGCACGCGACAAAAACAACAAAAAATTAACACTTCGCTTGGTGTTTAATTCCTTTCTTTATTCCTTTTGTGTGCACTTATTTTTTTATTTCTTTTTGAATGTGCAGTTGTTTATATAAATATATTAAACACTCGATGTAAACCACAATTTTCTTAATTGAAAATACAATTTTTATTCGCACATTTTTAATTTCATTTAGTAAATAGCATTTTTGTTTTATATTTTAGTGACCGCCGCGGCCTGCAATTTGGTTGCTAAATCGCCGTCGTCAAAAATCCACATTTGATAAATGCAATATTCACTTTTTAGCGGTCGATTACTATGAAAACAACTTAATCAATACACATTAATACATAATAATTAACACATAACAAACAGTATTATTGTTAAATTTCTACTATATTTATATAAATTAAGTAAAAATAATTTAATTTTTACAATAATTTTTCTTCTACTAATTCTTGTACACAACACACCATAACGCCATAATTGTCATAATTTAATATTGATATTGACCACCAGGCGTAGATTGGGCGCATCAATCGTCATATGCAAAATTTCATTGACATAAGACAGGGTTGTTGTACCTGAGGAATTGTGTATTCAAATAAATTTTATTTATTAATATATATTTCTGAACATATTACACAAATGTAATCATATATTTATAATTTTTGAAATGCTTCATTTTATCATACTGCTTATATGAACATTTTGCAACAATACTGAGGTAAAAGCAATTATTTTAAAATGCACTATTACTTTATTATTACTTCATAAAATTTTTACAAAATTGAAAACATTTAAAGCAGGGCTGTCCAGACCAGATGTGATCGCGGGCCAATACAAATCACTGTACAGATTGGAGGGCCTCAGAAACAAATACTTACGCTCATAGTTGTTTTGGACAAAAATAAAAATACGGTTATAATGTTAAATTAAGTTTTATTAAATAATTAATTTAAATTCTTTTATTTGGTATACCATAAAAATAAAATAATATGGTTTTACTAGTACACCAAATAAAAAATTGTGTAATTGTGGTAGATCAAAATATGTTGCGGGTCACATAAACATTAGCCAAGGGTCGCATGCGGCCTTCGGGTCATACTCTGAGCAGCCCTGATTTAGAGAATCATTTTCAATAACCGTAATTTTTTCTTTTAGAGCAAAATATACAAAAACAATTTACGAGAGAAAACATGTGAAGCACCAACAATGCTCTTAAAATCTTCAGTTAGGTTTTATTCGCAATAAATTTTACATCTTAGGTTTTAGTGCAGCTTAATTCAAAAATCAGTCTCATAATAGATTGTTCACTGGAAATATATTGCAAAATTCCAGTCATCCGTTAAAATAATATAATCATTTCATTTACTAATAAATTCAAATACAAATATAAATTTAATTAATTTAAATATATTAAGTAAAAATGCTTCTAATACTAATATTTACTTTTTTTTAAATTAATTAATTTTTAGTTTTTAAAAATTGTATATATCATTTTGTACACAACACAGCAGGAAAAACACATGTCAAAAAAAAAACATTTAACATATTTTAAAAGTGATGCCAATTTCTTTCAACCAGACTTAATGCTGTTTTTTTACAACACTGTAGAAAAAATTACGGCTAATAGTGTTTTAATGTAATTATTGAAAATTATAAGTTTTAAGTTGTCATAGTCGCTGTAAAACATTGTAGTAATTTATGAGAAAGGATATATTCGAACTAGTTTCAAAGCAGAATAGGGTTTTAAAAAATATTTTATTTTTTTTCAAATGAAATGTATGTGAAATGCAATAATAACTAGTAATAAATTAAACTTGTATTAAAAACGAATAATAAAAATAAAACTGTTTTTAGATTCTATCTATATTTTGAATTAATTTGTCCAAAGTACCTCCATTGTAATATCACTCGAACTTAAAGAGTTCGAGTTCCAAAAATAATTTAAATGGATTAATAATAACTTAAATAAATCATTTTTCATGATTTTTTAACTTTTAAACTTTTCCTAAACTTTCTAACTTTTTGTCTCAGCATTAAAATACCGAACCGATTTAATCAGTTAATCTAAAACTTCACTCACTTGTATCTGCAAATGTTTTAGAAACATACGTATGTTAAAAAACTACACAAATTCTTGTTGCATTAAAAATATTAGAGCTATTTGTTTCTAAGTGTAGATTATGATTATTAAAGGATTGTATAGCTATATATGAACCCCATTAGTAAACACTTAACTGCATATAGTATGTGTGATCTAAGAAATATAAAAATTTTCATAAAATCTTTATAAATGACAATACAAATAATATGGCGTTCTGCATCGCAACCAGTAAAATTATTGATATGAACCTAAACTATAAAACTACTGCACGATAACTTACTTAGCATCTACTCTTAGAAATTCGACTTAGACTTGTATGTATGTTTGATGTTTAGACGATGAAATAAACTTAACATGGAATGCAATAAAAATTCTACGTACCTCTGGAAAAAAATCCATAAACTTTAGGTAAGCCTTCAACTTTTAACAGTTGTTATCAATACACATGCTTTATTTTATTCTTCACGGCAGAAAGAAACTGTCGTTTTCTACAAGATTCAAAATAAACCGATTTAAGTTGTTGACCACAGTCATTTCGTAGCATGACTCGTAGAATGAGTTGCGCGAAGGACATACATTGGTATGGTTTTATTCCTATAAAATGTGTAGGAAAGATTGCGAATTATACATATAAGCTATATCTTGCAAACTTTTTCTAACATTTTGAAGATGATTGATCAAAAAGTACGGAAAATGTAAGACACTGCATTCCATTGAACCCCAATTAAAATAAATAACTTTTGTTTTTATTAAGTTTTTATTAGCAACTGTATGTCAGATCGAGAAAAAAAGATCATATTGTTAAAATATTTCTATTGTATGGAAAGTGTGGTCAATTAGGATCAAATACTAGTGATTGTTCATTTTATGATGTTATAATAATGTTCATTTTATATTACTATCACTTAAATTGGAATAACTAGTGTTATCTGTTTCAAATTTTTAAGAAATTTAGTGCAATTTGAGTGCATAACTCATTATATAAAAATTTAGAAATGAAAACAACAAATAAATTCAAAATTTTTGTTGTTGTTTCTTCAATACTGTTCGAAGCCTTTTAACTCGAAATTAGTTTCTTTTTGTCATAAGACGCGTCATATCTGACTTTAAAAATAGCATTTAGAAATACATTAAGGTTTATATAAAGAAAATCAGGTGGAATCTTACTTTACGAGATAATAATGGGATATACTGGACAAGGTCCAATTAAAATGGATTGGACATATAATAAATTCGCATTTGCTTTAAGAGAGACCACCGAAAAAGATTTCTATAAGCAAATTAATAAGAAACGGAAGCAGAGAAGATGACAGAAGATGAACATAAACTGAATGGCTAACGAAGAAAAGATAACTGGAAAGAAAAATACCAAAACTCTGTCAAAATGAGTGTCTATCGTGGTACAGATTTAGGTTACTCATTGGTTGTTAGATTAGGGAGAACAAGTGTTTATTATTCATACGTCATGAGGGTAATAGGGAAAATATAAATGTTAGGAGTTTATTTATATACACACAGCAATTTTATTATTACAGTGGTATTAAAGCATTAATAGATACTAAAGCATTATAAATCCTTCATATTTAAAAAAATGTGAATGGTAAAACATGTCTGAATGTTGATCATATGTTGATAAAAATATAAATCAAGGTAAAGTTTAAATAATTTATAAATATTGATACTGTTGAATTTAAGATTAACTCGAGTACTCCTTAAGCTAAATTGAATAAATAATATTAAGTGAAATATTAACGGCCAATTAAAATAATTAACTCCATTAAAAAGTATATCTATAACGCACTTGAATATTCAAATTTTACCCAAAAGCAAGAGCCTTCAAAATATTTTGTATTTTAATATCTCACATTAAGAAGTTTTGAAATTAAAACCTTCATAAAACTCAACAATTTGATAGGTATCCAATTTCATTTAAAATAGTCAATAAATAAACTTAACGGAAAGATGTGAGTTAGATCTACTTAAGTGTTTTAATCAAGGGTATATCTGTTTCACTCTTTATTATTAATTATTTTAACATATTTCTATAATATGACTTTACAAAAAGATTGGGTAACTGTTTGGTCCTAATAGAGTTGAGGTTATTGACATTTTTTTGGTTTTGTTGATAATTAGTTGATACATTTAGTTTTTTTTTATAGCATTGTTTGGTTTCTTATAACAACTATGCAAGGCTTTTCACTTTTCATTCTGTAAATCGGGAGTGCCTCATGCCGTCCACGGTTAATATTTGTGCGGCCCGCGATATTTTTCTTTGTTATATTTTAGTAATTTATAATTTTATTTTTATGGTATGCCAAATAAATGAATTAAAATGTTTATTTATTATTTATTTATTATTAATTTATTAGTCCTCACTTTCATTTACTTAATTTGCAAAGGCTTTAGTATATATTTTTTTGTACAACTAGTTCAAAAAACTATCGTAAGTCATTATAATAAAAATAAAATATTTTTCATATGGCAACAAGTAATATAAATAATGCTGATATTGATAGAATTATTATTTTTATTATTTTATTTTTATTATCTTATTTTTATTTTTCGCTGGAAAAATTATGAACGTATGTAGTTATTTCAGCGGTCCTCTTACCTTTTCAGTGTATTGTATTGGCCCGCGATCATATCTTGTCTGGACAACCCTGCCGTAAATGATAGATTAATTCATATTTATTCATAAATTTGGTTTTAAAACCAAATTTTGATCATATATATTTATAAATAAAATATTTTTGAATATATTTTATTTCTTACAAAACTGATTTATCAATATATATTCACGGTAGACTTTTTATTATATTTAATTTTTTCTCTTATTTCTAAGTAAGCATTTTTTAGCAAAAAAATACAAAAATGCCTGGTAAACTTAACACCTTATATAATATTTTTTAAAAAATTTGATTTGCAAACCGATTTGATAAAATTTGTATGGGTTTGTATAAAATTAATTGATTCGTTAAACGGCCAACTCTTTCGGAAAGTATTTAGACCAAAAAGTGAGGTATTCGCTTATGAAACCTG